TAATTTTATATTTTATTAGTTTTATACACGACAGCCCTACCATGTTTTCTTCCAACTTGGTTTTGTGGTATTATAATCTGCACAGATTCTATATCTTTGGTGTTATTAATGGGATGGTTCATAATACATATTGCTCTTACAACCTGAGGAATGAACAAATATGAAAGTGCCGTGGTTAACCAGTACTCAGTACAGTTGTGCTTTAGACTGTCCATATATGGAAAGTGAGGTGACTTCAAATATCCAATCACAATCTGTTTCCATCCTTTTTAGATGGAATTCTGCAGTATTCCCCTTCACAGTAGCCTGATTTTCAGACAGGGCCTGGGTCCTACGAGAAGCGTAGGACCCAGGCCCCATCTGAAAATCAGGCTACCTTCACAGACCATAAAGGAAATATAAAGATCAGGTTTTTACTTGAACTACAATGTATTTTATCATTAATTGAACATAAACAAAAGTTTGCAAGATCTGTACATTTTAGTGCTTGTTTTTTTTTACATAGTTGAAGCCTATTTCTGAATCTGCACTATTGTACTACATGTCAACCTTCTCTTTCCATGTCTGGAGATCATTTCAAGATAAGTGTATTAGTGAGAATGCGATGATTATGGCGATCATCAAACCATCACAAACATACCTGCCCTACTTTCTTAACTTTGTCAGAGAAGTATGATGGGTCACCTATAACCATCTTGGCTTTGGCAGTCTCCCCTTCTGATGTCACTCCTACTACACGCCCTTCATCGTCATAAACAATCTTTTCTATTGGTTTATTTAACATGTATGTGCCCCCATATATGGCACTAAGTCTTGCAAAGCCTTGTGGTAGCTCCCCAAGGCCATATAAGGGRTAAAGGTAAGGTGAAGTGCCATAACTTGCCAGAGAATCACTGTGAATACAAATACAATGCAATAATGTTATGAAATTATATGAATAATTTATAATTCTTTGGATTCTTTTGTGAAAGAATAATCCACTATCAAAGTTTTTTTTTGTTTTTGTTTTTGTTGTTTTCCGGCAGACAAATTGCTAGTGCAACTTGTATTCAACTATCTACCACTATCAAAGTTAATAGCATGAAAAAATACAGAACAAAAATTTCAATAAAATGAAATTGGAATAACAAAGGTTGGAAAACGTACCAGTATAACTTTATTTTCACCAGACTTTGTTCACAAGGCTGCTGTTTATAGCTAGAAGAAAATCACAAAAAAACTGTATTTATATGTAATACCAATAAATTGAATTGAATTGAGAAGATTAATTTCAGATTTGACAGGTTCTGCGATTATAGTGATGTTATGTTTAGTTATGTTTTTAAATGATTGCAATTAAATACAGTTTCATCAAATGTGTACATGTACATTGTAAGACTGCATTCAAGTTTTGATCGCAATGTAGTGAATTATCCAAAACAAGCCCAATCTGCCAAACCCCCCTAAAGTTTCTTGATGATTACCTTTCATCTCTGTGCAAAGCCAATGCATGTCCTGTGAAATCAGCAGTGTTTACGTCCAGGCCAAACTTCTTATACACCTCATCCATGGTAGTTTTCTTGGGGTCCACACCTGACGGAAATATAATCATAAATTGATGACCCATGGTCTTATCACATTTACTAAAAAGAAAAGTTGTATATTTTGCCACTTCATAATGAGYCCTATAATGATAATCATGAATACACCTTTTCAGTTGCACTTAGGTCTCGATAGTTACAATGTAATTATTCTTTTGAATTTGACAAATGAGACTAGATTCATATCAATGTTTGCATTACTCACATTCCTTCAAATTCAAAAGAATATTTAACACACTGTCGAGGCCTAAGAGCAACTGAAAAGGTGTACATGTATTGGGCAAGCATCATAGCACGGAAATGCAGAAAATACAGATTTTTCACTGACACTTTGCAAGCATACTATATCACCTTTCCATGTACTTGGATCATTGACATCAAAGTCTGCGGCAAATAACAGAAAGTTCTTGAATCTTCTCTTCTCAAAAATCCCCATGAGACTGGAGGCTAATGCTTCTTTGTCGTTAGCAGGCACCTTGTAAACAGTATCTTTCTTCAATACATAACTGCCCTTTATGCTTTTGAATTCCAAGTATTTGGTGACTCCACTATGGATCAGCATCTTGACCAGTTCACCTAAATTGAATAAAAATCAATTCAGTCACCCTCAATCAGGGCTCGAAATAACGGCCAATCGAAGGACAATGTCCTTCCAAATTCGCTAGATGACMRGCCAAATTGGATTTTGAAAGGACAAATTGCCTGCCACATATATTTTTAGACAAATAAAAAAACAATCAATTCTCAATTCRCTAAATAAATCTTTTACAAGCCATTAAAATGCTTGCCGATCTTTCTGAATACAAAAACCTATRAATKAAAAGAAAATAATTGTATAATAAAGTCTTTGTCCTTTCAAAACTTGACATGACCTTTCAAAAAWAAATTTGGAAGGACATCTTGTCCTGCGTATGTCAGGCCGTTATTTCGAGCCCTGCTCATTATCAATGCTGAGAGAGAGTAGGCTGAGAGCCAAAGCTGAACCATCAAACAGAGCAAAGAGAAACTGGTTATACAACATGTTCTAACATGATTGATTTTTCTCAGAACCTCACCTCTGGCCATGATAAATTTAGGAACCAAGTCAACATTCCAGTCATTTTCCCTGTCGCCATACAAGCTTTTAAATTTATCCCCTTGTTGCTTCTTTTCCTCTTCGATGTTTTTACCAAACTTTTCCAACAACTTTAAAAATAAGAAAGAGAAAGTATTATATTTTTATCTATGAGCTGCTCTGATTGGCTGATGAGTAAAATACTTAGAGATATAACAAATGCTCTGATTGGCTGTTGACTAAAATGCTTGAGATATAACAACTGCTCTGATTGGCTGACGACTGAAATACTTGAGATATAACAACTGCTCTGATTGGCTGATGRCTGAATACTTCAAATAYAACAACTGCTTTGATTGGCGGATGACTGTCGACTGGTTTACAATAAGAAGTGAAAAGACGGTTATTCCAGTTGGCAGAATGTTGGTACAAATAAAAAAATTATGATTTGCGATAAGTTGGCAGACATGATGACCAATTAAGCTCAATTTGGACATGTCTAGGCATATTTTGTGKTCAAACATTTTCCATCCACACTTAAAAATATAATAATATTGAATTTTTATGAGAAAGGCACTATATCTATCCCTGCATGATCAACTAGTTTAATATAGAAATGACAAAGAGGAATACTAGATTGTCTTAMTCTATAAAACTGATACCTGTTTAAGCTGAAGTGAAGCAGTCGTCCCTCCATAATAACTCTCCCTGTCCATATGAAGGACTTTCTTACCATCAACCGACAACAATCCACTCAAAATACATTCCTAGAAATGAAAAGAAAACTCTGCCCGTCAGTTAACATTGATACAAAGTTATTTCATTGCAACAAATGAAGATTTCCCCCAGCCAGAAGAACAATACCAATGCATCATTGTATAAACAAACAAACAAACAAACAAAAATAAACTAACACTAAAAATTGTTTGAGTGATTAAATATATTGCTTAAGTATAGTTTTGTTCTATTTTTCTGGATGAATGAAAATAGAATGACTTATGGCGGAAGTAAGTTACAAAAGAACTTCTACTATGGAATAATAGATGTCTACAAACTAAGGACAGTTAATAATTTTCAGAAAATTCAGAATTTGTTTTGGCATCCTACACAATTTTGGTAATGTTGAAAAAGAATTTAAATATTATTTATTTCACTGCAGAAGTAARCTTACAGAACTAAATAAACACATTAGAAGCTGACGCTGTGACTGATACGAAKAAAWTCTTATGGAAATCACATTAAAAGCTAACCAATTTTTTGTGAATGAAGCCAAAAAGTAAATTATATTTAATAAATGGGCTTGGGTTCATTTGAGAATGAAAAATGGAATCTTTTTAAAGTTTTATTACAGAAAAAATTAGCATGAATGCGATGTCACATGCAGTTGTGAAGTCAGCATGGGAAATGATTCTTTTGAAAATTTCAATAGAAATATTTTGATTCTACCAGTTTTTCTACTCRTGCAATAAACTTACTCGGTATCACAGATAAACTACTTACAATGGATGCAAACTTAGAAGTCTAAATAGCAATGCAAATGAAGAAAAATAATCAAAATGTCGAGGCATTCGTGTGGGTGTGATGGTCTGGCCGCCATGTTTCGTGCCACAGTCAAGCGCAAACAAGTTTATATTTTTCACAAACCTTGAGCCCAGTGCCTAAAACAATAACATCATATTCTTCATCCATTATTAAGGGTTACGTTAGGTCGTCCAGAGATTACTCAAGAAAGCGCAAAGGTGTCTAACGATGGAGAAATCTAGAGAGCTCCTGCTTAAAGAGGAAGCCACACCAGATCGACTGGGATGATCGTGATAGCCARTGGTAACTCATTGATCCCGTCAAATTTTACCATACCAAATAATGTCCCTGTGTAGTAAAACTGCCAAATGCTCACATCTTTTAAGAAATATTTGTACTTAATCTTCATTGGAGATTTAAAAAATCTCAAGAGACTAAAACTAAAAATGTTTATAAWTTTTTTTATCATTTAGATATGATTATGAAGGGACATCATTCATAGGGACTCAATTGATTCAAACACATGTGATTCTAGGGACATTATTCATAACTGACATATATAGTTCCTACGATGTAGATGATGCAACGTGGTCTTGTTTAGATGCAAAAACACAACAAAATATGTAAAAGAATTTATACCTTCTTACACAAGAGGACGCCTGAATTTGTCCTCTGTTTGAATATGAAATAATAGTATGAAAAAGTCGGATTGTTTGCCGGTGCGACACTAGTGATTTTCCCCACGTGCGCAACGTAGTGGCGAAACCTTGTCTATGTTGGTTATTTTAGCGAAATTTACGAAAACTTTCAATTTGTTTATGGGAAAAAATGGATGAGAGAAGATTACTGGGCCTTCGCTGTTCGGAGGACCCTTCTTCGCAAGCCCAGGTTGGTATTTTTGGGATAAATTCTCGCTGTTATTTAAGATACGACACGCCATCAAACGGTCAAGCCTCAAGTGTACAAATTTTGGCCTATATTAAGATCCATTCATTCTAAAT